AAATTTATTCACGTCAATCTTTTTCTATATAAGTTAGGCACGGATCTAAGTTATATTTATAAATTATTAAAGAAGAGTTTCAGATGTTTAGAACAAGTGTTTTCGTGCAGGTTGTTCGATTTTAAATAGCATGTCGAGCACCTCACACGAAACCACTCGCCTTTATTCTCTGTTTAACAAGGTAAATCAGATTGAACCTCTTACAGAAAGAAGAACTTGTCCTCATCGCCAGAAAGGTGGGATTTCCAGTTTATTCCGAATGCACTTTCTGACACATTTTTTTCTCTTCTCCACACGAATTACATTAATCTTAAAAAGAGGTTTACTTCAACTGAATTGAAAGAAGTAGACTTCGGAGATCGTTTACTTTTCTTTTATGCACATACTCTTTTCTAAGCACTTTTAAATTATCAATTCAAGAAAAAAAAAATATATAATCAAAATTCTTCACGAAAGAATTTTTATAGCACATATTTTAATTATTTTAAAAAAATATAATACTTTTACGTATTATCCTACAAAGAAAATTTTCTTTTAAAATCGGTTTCTATTACAGTTGTTTTATTAATTAGCTAAGTTTATCTTTAAATAAATCATTTAAATAAATAGAAATAATAATTTTTAACAAATTGAATACATCTAATTTTTCTCTTAATTAGATTTTTAGCAGAGATAAATCGTGTAATTGCAACTAAACATCTGTTTTCTTTTCATGGTGACTGAATATTCTAATTTCTTTTTCACTGTAGCGAAACGAAAACTGATGAACGGTTCTGGCATGTTTCATTTATATGAATCTTTCTACTATATTAAGAGTTTCTTTCTTGTTTACCATGTTTATTTCTTTCCGTTTCAATAAGAAACCAATAAGAATGTGAAATTGTGTGTACACTCGAACCACACTCAAAATTTATTTATCAATACAGTACAGGAAACTTGTTGCTTCGCTATATGTGATGTTTATTTATTTTTTTAACTTTTCCAAATAAGTTGAAAAATAAATATCAATAATTTTAACTGGAATTTTATAAATAATTTCTATACAGGGTGAATCGAAAGTTCTCCCCTTTGCATCCTTTTCATTCCAAAAGTACTGAAGATAACTTATATTACTTTTATTTATGCTTAGGAAATCGTGTATGGAGAATCGAATGGGATTTTTTTTTTAGCTTGAAAATGATTTTCAAGCTCTAAAAATGGTCCCATCTGATTTTCCATACAATACTTCATACTATGTAACTGCATTAACAAAATTAATATATTTTCAGTACTTTTGGATTGAAAAGGGTGCAAGGGACTTTCGACTTATTCTGTATATTTTTTAATGTGTGATTTATTTATATTTGTTAGATGTATGTCATATATTAAAAAATATTACTTATTTATATACGATCAAACCTCGATTTAGCGCACCCTTATATAGGCTATATATTGCCATAATAATTATTTACGAATTTCGATAATAAAGATATTAACGGACGACATATTTGTCATTAAATCACATGACTTTAAAACTAATATATGTTCGTAGACCTTATTATTATGAGTAGTTTACAATGGGGAGCGTTGCTTACTAAAGCCGCTTTTCCAAGCAACGCTCCCCCTTGTTTCGATTTAGTGCCAATTTCAGAGGCGCTCAGATAATGATGTTAAATCGAAATTTAATTGTACGGTATATATTTTTAATATGTAAAATCTTATTTTATATCAGTTTGATTTTCTCGTTTCTCTCATTATAGCCTAATAGTAACGATTTAAATCGGTATTTTCCAAACTTTTTGCATGATTATTCGTTATTAATTTATGAAAATATTTTAAATATATCGCGTAATCTTTGGAGAAAAATTTTGTTCTTTAGTTTCGGGAACAAATTTCGACTCCAGTAAAATTAGATATAATGGTATTATATAGGACATAATACAATTTTATGTCTCATGGAAGAATAAAGAGATGTAAGAGAGCTTTAATTCTTAATAATTTAAAAAAATTTTGACATTATAAGCGGAAAACAATAGCCTTTAGAAACAAAGTAAATTCATTCTATTGATTGGTTGAAAGTAAAAAATAATAACAACAGTGATTGTTGGAGATGCGGGCTATTGGTTAAATTTCTTTTCGTCTAATCTTGCAGTAAAATAATTACACGTTATCTATAAAAGATTTTAATTTTTTGAGATAACTTTCTTTAGTTAAGCTATCTTACACCTTTCTATTTTTCAAAGAACTACATAGATTCTGTTATACGCACACAATGCTACGTGTGCGAGAAACAGATTTCATATTAAACTTTTCGAATTCCAGCTGAGATATTTCTTTCTATTTTTATTTTAAATATAAAAACGTGCAAATAATAATAACAAAATGTACACAAGTAATAAGATACAGATGGCTCAAAAATCAGTTAACCGAAATAGTTTCATATTACCGATTAACTGTTCAATATCGGTTTTAACCATTCTTAAAATATATTTCGTTAACTGATTTTAATGCCTTCTTTCTATAGAAAATATTATAATTTTTAATAATAAATTTAATTATGATATGCTTTGTTTATATATAATTTTGTGTGTATTTTTTAGGGAGCCAGTAAACTGACCCGAGAAGACATCGAAAGAGTATTCTCTCTTTACGATAGGGTAAGTCTTCAATTGAGAAAAGAGGAGAAACTATTGGTTTAATCTGAATTACTTTCGTTTACGATAAATCTCTCTATAGCCTATATAAAACCAGAAAAGAAAGTGTAGTGTTTTATTTTGTGTTAGTTCTAAATCTTATTCGAGTATGGTGTTTTGATAGCGAGTAATTTAAATTTACTACACCATGTTCTTTCTTGGAATAGATTTTTAAATTTTTTACTTCAACAAAGAAACATTAAGTTAAACTCTTTCAGCTATCTTCTTGCATTCCTGAGTACGTATCGACTCTTCTGAGAAATAAACTCTAGATCGTTACAAAAGCAGATAATTTCATCAAATTCCCATTTTATGGATTTTCTATAAGTCATTCTCTTAAATTGTGCTTAGATTTTAATCGTTAAATTTCATTAATGTATATATATATTATTTTACGTTTCTTGATTTACCGATATTTTAATTAAAAATTTATATTTTGACATAATTTTCGTAATTAAACAGGACAAAAATGGAACAATTGAAAACGAAGAGTTAAAAGGATTCTTGAAAGATTTGTTGGAGTTAGTGAAAAAGGTAATTATATTAAAAACTTCTTGTTAAAATTTTCATTTATTTAAATCAAGTTTAAAAAACTTATTTTAATCTATTCCTTACTCAACAAATATTAAATATTCGAGTATATTATCTAGTCATAGAAGGATCAAAGTGTGATGATGATTGATCGCATCTTTTTAGGATTATGACGCGCAAGACTTGGAAGATTTCCAAGATGCTATTTTACGAGGTTGTGATTTCAACCGAGATGGAAAAATCAACAAGAAAGAACTGACCATGATCCTCTTGGCACTTGCCAAACACTCTCAAGATGATGAAACTAAGTAATGGAAGATGAAGTGAAACGAATGAGAGTGATCGGACATTGTTAAAAGCAAAGCTACAAACCGAACACATACAAACACACAAAATCAGCATTAAGGTAATTTAAAAAAAAGGTAAAAATGATAAAACAATGCTTCTCTCTCTCTGGCTGTCGTCAACGTATTTTGCTCAAGTTATTAGAGCGATATATTCAACTTATCGAGGTCAGGTAGAGGGATCCGTCACGTCGCCAAAATGTCTTAAATATAAATATTATATTATGATAAATATGAATAATATATTAATATAAAAACGTATATATATATATATATAAATATATATAAATANAGTTGCTCATTCTCCTGACCATTAGGTCTTTGCCATTTATGTCCTCTACTTCTTTTTTACCTTCTATCGAAAAAGAAAAAGTCTTTTCTTGTTTCACTGTGATATAAATTAGCCTTAGAAATAAAGCAAAAAAAAAGTGCTTTCTATGTTCAATGGTTTCTGTTTGATTGTTCAAAAAAAAATTAAATGGGGAAAAGAAGAATAAAAAAATATATATAAAAAAGCCACAATAAAAGTCTTTTGAAAGGTGGATATTTGTGTTTGATTTATTTATATTTATTTCTTTTTAAAATAGTGTATACAATAATCAAACTTTCCATTAGATCACTCTGTTTCTACGGCTAGAAGAATCATTAATGAAAAAGTTCTTGATGGATTGATTACTTCGCCATCATGGTTTATCGAAGAAGATTAATATCCCTTTATGTCATGTAGAAAAAAAAATCGAGTAAAGAAACAAGTCAACAAGATCGATTTTGAGTAAAGTTTGATACCCAAATGGTTTTTTAAGTCAAACTTGAGTGCAAACAATGTCGAATATACAAAATAACAAATGTTTGAATCTAGTAAATAAAGATTTATAGATTTGCAACGTAATAGTATATGATAGATAGGGATATGCACGGAATAATTCACTAGTTAGAAAATTAAACGATAATAATACTGTTAAAGTAGACTATTTGTTATTAACTGTTCATCTTATTACATTTAAATGACATCAAAATAATTGTAAATTAATTACGGATTCTAATTGTTACCTTTATATTAATATTGTTTAATATGAATTTCGAAATAATTTATTAATATAAAATATGAAAAATAAATAAAGAATCAACAGTTAATTGTTAATGAATATTCGATAATTATATTTTTCCAATTTTTCTAAATGATAAAAACATTTCTTTTGACTGTTTTACACGCAGTAAACCTTGTATAATTTAATGAAACAATATCTAAAACATGTGTTCTAGTAGAAAACAACAAGATGTTCAACACTGTTCTTGTCATTCATAGGATTTGTGACACATTTATTAAATTTTGCTTTAGTCACACTACTGAACACACAAAGTTTTCATCGATTTTGAAGAATGATCAATATTAGACAATATGTTGTCTATACTTTCTTAATATTGGACAAAATCAATACAATATCACAACGAAAAAGTATGGTTTCTTGAAATTTAATCTACAGTTAAACTCAATACTTTTAACGAAATCCAATTCTGTATTATAATTAAAAAAAACCCTTATAAATATTAATAAACTGATGGCTTATTTTATTCTATTTTTAATAGAATTAAATGTACTTCTTTGTATACAAGAGGGGAAAAAATGTATTTTTAATTAAATAAATACAATTAATGATGCAAATAGGAAGTAAACGAAGTGTGAAAAAGAAAATTAAGAATGTAATATTAATAACAATAATAATAATAATAGTGGAAAAGAACATAGAAACAAAGTTTATTCAAAATTCTTTGTTTAATTATTTTAATCATTTGTCTTTCATTAATTAAACTTGCTGATTTATAAATTTACAAATTAGACAAAGAAAATTAAATAAATCTTCATACATGTCGTATGGATTATTGAATTTTTTAACTTATATTTTAGGTTGTCACTCGCTGTTCAAGCCTATTTCTTACTTTCTCTTCAATTATCTGTGTGTTAGAAGTTTTCTTAACTGTGTTTATAAATAATGCAACAAGATACTTTTAATGAAAATCATTTACAGAATTGGATTCTTTGTTATTGATAACGTTCAAGTCAACTTGTTTCATTTGTAAAACAGTAGCAGAATAACATTAGTTGTCAGTGGTAGTATAAATTACAAATTTATACTTCTGATACACACTGTACTCGAGATATCAGAAAGTTTAGCATCCAACCAAACTGATGTTTTATTTAAATCTTCACATATCTAACAAAGAAAAGCATACTTTTATCTATAACTGATAATATATAATTTACATTAAAAAAGCTTTACCTTGTTTATGTCTTGTAAGACTGTTTCAATCGATTCCCTCAATGGCAATAGTACAGACGTCACACAGTTTATCTAAAATTAATAAAATTCTAAAGATACTTTCTTAATATTTGAAAGTTATTTGATTAAAACTTTAAATGATCAACTATATCAGCTAACAGTTTAGATTGATCGTTTCTGTCAGAATTTTTTTTCGTATACGTGTTTCTTCTCTATTTTCATCGTGTAAAGAAATTTAAATTGAAGCTTTAAAGTTAAATAAGTCATAATATTATAGAGTTATACCTTAAATATCACCCAGAATAAGGTGTATAGCATTATATACACACGCTACAGATGTCAAACATAAGTGCAAAGACGAAAATCTTTCAGTTTTGCAATGAATTTATGTAAGCATCTTTAATACAAGTAAGAAAATGGAAGAATTTCTCATTTTTATGCTGAAACGTTGAAAGAATTATAATAAAATATTTTGAAAGTTAATTTAAATAAAATATTTATGAAGTTACAAACATGATTTTCTTCTGTAATTTCCTCTTTAAGATTTTCTGGAAAAAAAGTAAAAAGTAATTAAAAATTTTAAAATATTTTAAAGTATAAAGTAATTAAATTATAACATACTTATTAAAATTATATTTAAAAAAAACTTATAAAAATACGAGATTAAAGCACAAAAGTAGGCATTTTTGAATTGGGAAATCAACATTCAATTATAGGAATGTAAATTATATTGTTTTATGTATTATTTTATTCATTTATTTATTGATATTATAATGTATAAAAGTTGAATTTTATAGTTTTAATATTTTAAATAGTAAGAAAAAATTCATTTTAAAATATTTATTAGTGAAAAGTTTAGATTAACAAACGAGAAATGAAATTATTATGAAGAAAATATGCTGATTTTTTTCGAATTTTAATTCCATATTTTTTGTTTATTATTATTAAAAAAATTACATAATATTTCTTAATTAAAATTGTTTTTATTACTATTGTAATAAATAATTTTAATGAAGACAGGATAACGATTTATTCTTACAAAAATGAGAATTTATTTTTATTCTTATTTTTTATAATATTAAAGTAATAAAAAATATACACCAAAGAAATGTAAATAACAATAATTTTATATTTATTCAAAACATCCATTTCAATATAAAATATAGAAATTAAATGATATAGAAAAAAGGCAATAGAAAATATTTAAATTTAATGGAAAATTTAATAGAAAAACACCAAGAATATTGATTTATTTAAAACCGAATTCGAACTTAATGAATAAACCTTTTTGCAATTTAAATTTTTTACAAAATTTGTTTTTTTGTACAACATCTGTTGTTGTACATCATCTCATTCAATTAGCGTATGGTTCTCCAAAATTTAAATCATTCATTCATTTATTGACAATGATTTAAATATAGAATAATTGAAAATTTAATAAAGTTAATACTGTATCATCTGTCTTTATTAGTAATTTTTTTTTTTCATTACATAATTATTATACTACTGTACTGTATACATAATAATGTTATACAGTAAATCATGCTTTCTTGTAGATAAATAAAACAAATTAAAAAGTTAATGATCTTATTTTAACAATGTTAATGATGTCGTGATGACACTAATGTCGACATTTTCATTAATCAAAATGTATTTTTCTCTACGTAATTATACGCATATATTATATATAGAGCATACAAAGTTAATCAATACATTCGGTCTCTTTTACTAACTCTTTGTAAAGTGTATACACCCGTAAATTCGGTTCACTTTATAAGTGTGAAGATACTAGGAAGCAAAATCGAGATAACCGTAGTAACTAATTCAATAGACGAAAGTGTTATCTGATCGCACCAACTAAAAAAATGTAATAAACTTTTATCTTTTTTCCCCCCTATCAACATCTTTGTAGATCAAAGAAATGTTTCTAGATTACCCTACATAAAAGAATAAAAATAGAATATTCTTAATAAATAATCCTAATTAGTTTGTAGTTACTGATTAATATTATAGTAGGTCATTAAAAGTGTAATGTAGAATTTTAGTAAAAGTCATTATCTGTTAAGCCATAAGATTAATATATAATATAGTCATAAGATAATAGCTATAGCATAGCATAAGCTCTGTTATATGTATATAACAGAGGGGAAGTATGGCGATCGATCAAAAAATGATTCCCCCAAGATTTTTATATTTTTAGACATAAGGGACCTTGAAACGTCGAGAAATGCAAAAAACATATATGGATGTTAGTGCGTGTGTGTGGGGCACAATTTTGTTCACCTTCTTTAAAGCTTAATAATTCCTGTGCCTTCTGTCGAAAATTTCTGAAATTTTTCAGGGAGGTTTGTCTATTAAAGGAAAATGTTTTAGAAAATTTTCAGGAAAATCCGACCATTGGTTCGGGAGATATACAGTAAAAGGGATGGGATCATATCTCAAAAATTTCCGAGTTATATCTTTTTTTTTTTTTATTCCAAGTTTTTAGTTTACCGAAAAATAAATGCATTTTTTCCATTTTTTTCATAAATCCCACATTTCAAATACAGTATTAACGTTTTTTGCTATTCCCCCCAATAACATCTCACATTAGATGGCACCGCACACAATTTTAACTTTGAGCTAGAGTATTTTAAAAATAAAATTACTCCTTTTAAGTTATTATTATTACTTAAGTTTTATATTCCAGTATATTTGAAAATTATTGGACTTCTTAATCTGCTGTTCTAGTGCTGGGAAAGTCGAGTAAGAGCCCTTGTTTTAAATGATTTAATTCTATTTAGCAACAAAACTCGAATTATTTTTGTTGTTACAATATAAATTTTATCTTAAGTTAATTGAAATAAATTAATTACGCTCTTTACTCGGTTTTAGTAGATTCCATAAGCATAGTTAACACAGTATTTGATAATAAATTGGATTTGTTTAATTGAGAAAAAAATCATTTTTAAATATCAAGAATTTTTGAAACGTTTCAAAAAAAATTGTTTATCCTGTATATT